GGGGATGTGGGTGCCAGGCACAGCCCGTGCTGACCAGGGCAGCCAGACAATGGCCCCTTTGAAGGCCACAAACCCATCTGGGGTGGCCAAACCCTCCACAGCACAGGGCCAGGCCCTGCACTTCAGAGAGACGCTGCAGAGCTCCCCAGCCTCCAACCAGCCCCAACCTCCAACCAGCCCCACTCATGGGAAGTGGTTTTACAGCTCTGCACAGATCGAGAGGCCAGTAAACATCTGTGTGTGCCCACGGGGTTTACTGGCAGCTGGAAAGTCACCCCTCCCTTGGGAGCTCCAACCCCCCCCAGTGACACAGCCCTGCCTGCAGAGAGGGGCCAAACCAGCCCTGGGCACTTGGGGGGCTGAAGGGGGGCTGAGGGCCATCGGTCTCCATCCCTGGAGGGGTTTAACAGACGTGTGGATGTGGCACTTGGGGACATGGGTCAGTGGTGGGCTTGGCAGTGCCAGGGGAACAGTTGGACTCGATGATCTCAGAGGGTTTTTCCAGCCTTCATGATTCCATGAAGCCATAGTTAGGGAAGTCCTCCAGCCTGGCAATGGCCCTGGCACAAGCTTAAAGGTTGTCTCTGCTCTGAGCCCCCTCAGTGAGGAGGGGAAGGTTGTTCTGAGCCACCCCTGAAGCACCCCTGGGGTGCAGTGACCACCCTGTGCTCCCCTGGCTGCCTGCACCCATCCCACCAAACCCCCTAGAGCTGCACTCCAGGAGCACCAAGGAAAACAAAAACAATCAACTTGTGTCCTGCTTATTTTCCTTTTTCCTCTGCTACGATGAGCAGACAAGTCCCAGTGGGTTCATTTAAAAACTGGGTTTGGTTTTCAAAGAATCCCAAAATTATTTGGGTTGGAAAGGAACTTAAAGCCCATCCAGAAGCACAGCCCCACAGCCAGTCCCTAAAGCTCAAAAATTCCTAAAATCCGAGTTTTCTTTGTTTTGTCCTTTCATGCCAAGGATTTGGAGCAAGGAGGCTTTTTTTATTTCACTTTAATTTGCTTTGAAATGCTGTACACTTCATCCTCTTTGATGTGCTTTGCTTCCAAGAAAAGGCCAGGAGAGGTCTGAGGCATCAGCCACCAGAAAGAACTGTGTTCCCTGGGGTGTGCTTTTTCCAGACTGGGAAAAGTCTTTCTGGGGGAGGATGGAACCTCTGACAAGATACACATTTCTTATCAGCTCTGAGCAACTTCCTGCCCTGACATGACTTCAGGGTTTCCTCTGGAATGCAGCCAGAGGTGACCAGCACTGCTCATGCCACTGGCCAAGGTGGCCCTGCTCTCCCCCTGCCCCTCCACGCTGGAGACAGACAGTCCCCAGTCACTGCCACAGGCTCAGGGTCCCACTGGAGCCCTTTCTGGGACGTGACATCATCTGAAAAACCCCAACATTTCTCCACCTATGTCAAGAATGGTGGGGGGGTGAAATTCCTGGGTGCTGGTACAAAGCCACTGGTGCTGGAGCTGGGCAGGAGGGAGGCAGCTGCAGGAAATGATGGGTCTTGTCTTAGAGGCAGTTTCTGAACTCAGGACCTTTTTAATTACTTCCTTTTCTGAGCTAATCCCAATTCCTCCTCATTAAACCCTGCTAGAAATAGCACCTTACATCAGCCAGTCTCACCAGTTTTTTCCAGGTTCCCCTTTCATTCAAGATGGAGAATTTCCCCATTTCTGCTGTCACTGAGTCTATTTTGGGCATTTGCTTTCCTTAGCACTTTCTCCTGGGATTTTTTTTGAAGGGACTTGGAGAAAACTTCTTTGTGTAAATCAGAGCAGCATCAGCCAGACTCCTTCAAATCCCACTGACTCCAAACAGTGCCTGCTGAGTCAGGAATCCTGAAACCACTGGAGCAAAGATGGGAAAACTTCCCTCTCATGCCACAGTTTTGCCCTGCAATGAACTTAATCCCCCTGGAGATGCTCCAGCCCACTTTGCCCGCTCCTCCATGGCCATCTTCGTGTCTCAAGGGTAGGATGGTTCTTCATCCAAAACACACCCAACCTCTCTTCCTAAAAAAGGGGAAGAGCTGGAAGAGGTGACTCTGTCATTTCATCATGACTGGAATGTGGGGAGTGGGTAAGGAAACATTTTTTAGGAATGTGTTGTGACATCCCAGGGCATCACTGACATGACTGTAACCTCCCACCTCTATCCAGCTGGTAGAGTGAGGGCTTTGCTCAGATTTCTAAGGAAAAATTAGATTCCTCGAGAACCTGGCTCTGGGATTATTTTTTGCTTTCAGCAGTAGTAAAGTTTCAGCCCTTCCCAGTCCCCTGTAAAACAAATTGTCTAAACTAAACTGACTCAGCTGAATTAAGAATTTTTTTTGTTTTTATTAACTAAAAAAAATGATCCCTGAGAGTCTGAAATAGTTTGGCATCTTCTTGGTAGCAAAGGGATGAAGGCAGGGAGGTGTCCAGCTGCCTGAGAGGGGAAATCTGTCATTGGAAGTATTTGAATAATCGCTGCAGATTTCCAACTAATTCCTCTGTTTTCACAGGACTCATCTTTTATCAGACAGGTCTCGTCTTTATTTCCTCCCCATAAATGGAGTTTTGGGCAGGAACAGATGGCTGGAGGAGGTGGATCCGGAGACATGACCCACGAATTCTTGAAGGCACAATCACAGGGAACAGCTCAGAGCTCTTACGTACTTCCACAACTGCATTCCCTGGGCAGCCAGCCGGGATCCAAGGGAGCTGGAGCTCACTCACAGACAGCTCCTGGTCCAGCTGGAACAGTCAGAACGCCAAGTTCCCACCTCCTGCCTGGCCAGGAGCCCTCCTCATCCTCCTGGGATAGCTGGGAACAGGCAACATGACGAGTGGAGTGAGGGAATGGGATCTGGAGGGATGAGTGAACCTGTGAGGTGCCTGTGCAGAGGGAAGGATGGAGAGGGGGCCGTGGTGTGTCCAGGAAGGTGATGCCCAACTTGGCAAGAGACGCTTTTGCTCCATGGGACTAATCTGCCTGGGTGAGGGGCATCACCACGGCTCCCACCAGGAACCTCCCTGAGGGTGGGACATCCCTGGGACTGCTCCTGTGCAAGTCCAAGGTGGTCTTGTCCTCCAGACCCCTCTCTGGCTGCCTGGAGCACAGCAGTTCTCCTGCCTGGAGCACAGCAGTTCTCCTGCCTGAAGCACAGCAGTTCTCCTGCCTGGAGCAGAGAATTGTCCTGCCTGGAGCACAGCAGTTATCCTGCCTGGAGCAGAGCAGTTATCCTGCTTGGAACAGAGCAGTTATCCTGCCTGGAGCAGAGCAGTTATCCTGCCTGGAGCAGAGCAGTTATCCTGCCTGGAACAGAGCAGTTATCCCTCATGGAGCCAACCAGCCATGGCTGCTGGAGGGCTGTGCCCACCATGCAGTGTTGGAGGATATTTGGAAAACACCAGGTTATTTCCAGAAGGTTCCTGGAGCAGGGGCTGGAGCCTTTAATAGAAAGAGGATGAGTCAGTGCCCAGCACTGTGGGGAGGGTGCAGAGGTGCTGCTGGTGAGGTTGGGTTGCTCCACTTGACGTTATAATCCTTCCACTGGAAGCATCCCCCAAGACATCACCACTCCATGATGCCTTGAAAATAAAAAGGAGTCACATCCCAGGAACGCCTGCTTCCCTCTGGAGAACACATATCCTTCTAGGAACATCTCATTACAGCTGGAGAGCCCCCAGCTCTTCCCAGAGCATTCATCACCTCCCTGCCAGGCCTTCCCTCTCCTCCTCAGGGACAGAGGGGAATTTGTTAGACCTCCATGGCACTCTGTGCAGGCTGGTGGCTTCTTCCCAGTGAACCATCCCTGTCCCAGCCCAGGGAGAGCTGTGAGCTCTTACCCTCTCCCATATGATGTGCTACTTCCCCTTGTCATGACAATTTTCTGCTGAGACAGGATACTCTTTTCTTCCCAAAATCCCAGTTTCTGCTCATGGCCTCAGCCCAGTTACTCTGCTCCTGATCTCCTGATCTTCAGAAGCAGTGTCTCCTTCCTCACCCTGCTGCTGGAGCTCCTTCTGCCTCATCCTCAGGGTCACAAAGTCTCCAAACATCTTTTGGCTCTCTGCAGCCCCAAGGCTAAGAATGAAAGGCCTCACCTACCAGTAGCCCTTGAAATTTAACTGTCTAATCCAAATTGGTCATTCAGGGTCTCTTTATAGGACCTGGAGTGCAACGGGCACTTCCAGGAGATAACACCCCATCTCAGCTCTCTCCCTTCCCTTAAATTTGAGGAAATTTGAGTGCTTCAACTCTGGGATTCCTGTCTCATGCTCACCACTACCTGTGCTGGTGCCTGCAGTGCTGTCACAGCTGCAGGACATGCCCTGAGTCACCTCCAGCTCTGTGGAACACGTACAGGGCACTGGTGACAGCTCCCATCTCCTGCTCCCAGGGCGGTGTGTGAGGGAAGCAGTCCATGGTAAAGGACCTTTTCCAGTCCCACAGCCCATTTTTCCCTAACCAGCCTCATCCTATTGATGCCCTTCTGCCCAGCTCTGTCCTTTGGGCTACTCAGGCAGGTTGGGCAACAGGGGACTTGACAAATGCAGGAACCTCCACAGAGGAACTTCTTGCTAAGGGACAGGCATGAAAGAAGCAGAAATAGCCACAGTCACTGTTTCATATCCTGTGTCACTGGGGAGGCACTGAATCAAGGGGGGAGCTTCACTCTTCCGGGGCTGGGGCTGCTCTGTTCCATCACGGGACTGCACCACGAGTGGACTCTCCTCTGGGGGAAATTCCATCATGCCTACGTAAGGCTCCACATGGACCTCTCGCCCCATAAATTGAGGGGCTGGTGACCGTCTCAGCATCAGCCAGAAAAGAGGCTTTCAAGCTCCCCTTGCCTGCTGAGCTCCAGCCACCATTTCTCTGCTGACATGAAGGTCTCCGTGGTTGCCCTCGCTGTCCTCGTCGCCGCCTTCTGCTACCAGAGCTCTGCTGCACCATGTAAGTCCAGGGGCTCCCCACCCTCCCTCCATGGGGACAGGAGAGATGTCCCTGCTGGGACAGAGTCCCTTCTGCCAGCACTTCCACCCTGGGTCCCTCCCCATGTTGTCAGACCATCCTCAGGCCGGTGCTCCAGGGTCATGGGGGCTCTCCTGCCCCGGGAAAGGCACAGCTCAAAGACCATTAGGGTAAAACCTAAACCCTGTTTTACCCTTTTTGGGGTAAAAGAGGGTTAAAACCACAACCACACCCCCACACAGTGCTGCAGAGGTCAGTGGTGCTGTGCAGGGCACCCTGAGGAGGGCTGAGGGTGGCCAGGTTTGGGCTGGGAGATGTTGCCTGGTGACACGGGCTCTGTCAGTGCCAGCTCAGGGTGAAGCCAACAGGGAAAAAACTGAAGGAAGAATTAAAAAGGCCTCTCCTTTTCCCTTCTTCTTCCACGTCATCCCTACTCCCCAGAGCCAGGGATGTGGGATCCCAGCTCCCTGGCCCTGCTCCCCACCCCTTGCCCCTGCTGATGATTGTCTTTGCCCTCCACAGTTGGCTCCGACCCCCCGACCTCCTGCTGCTTCTCCTACTTCTCCCGGCAGCTGCCCCGGAGCTTCGTGGTGGATTATTATGAGACCAACAGCCAGTGCCCCCAGCCAGGCGTTGTGTAAGTCCCCTCCTCAGGGCAGGGGGGGATTTGGGATGACGATCCAGGGAGGGAAACACCCCTTTTCCAAAGACAGGGAGTGGAGGCTGGGGGAGACAAGAAGTACAAGGTGATGCTCTGTGGGTTTGAAGCACAGAAGTCTCACCCTGGTCCTGCTCTACCACTTTGAAGACTTAACTGGTGTGGATGGGCACAGTATTCTCATCCCACCCTTGGGAGAGGCTGGAATTGGGCAGGGCTCTTGTTCTGTCCCTGGAATCCCCTGCTGGGATGGAAACCAAAAGAGAGTAAATTTAGATAAGACATTAGGAAGAAACTCTTCCCTGTGAGGGTGGGGAGGCCCTGGCACAGGTTGCCCAGAGAAGCTGTGGCTGCCCCTGGATCCCTGGAAGTGTCCAAGGCCAGGGCCTTGAACCTGGGCTAGTGGGAAGGTGTTCCAGTCCAAGTCAGGGAGTGGAATGAGATGATCTTTAAGGTCCCTTCCAACCCAGCCCATTCCATGATCCTGTCATTCCCCATTCATTCTCCCACCAAAACCTGACCTCTCTGCACCCCACAGGTTTATCACCAAGAAGGGCCGGCAAGTCTGTGCCAACCCCGAGCAGGAGTGGGTCCAGCAGTACATGAACGACCTGGAGCTGAACTGAGGTCCTGCCCAGATCCTGCTCCGTGTCCTGGCGAGCACGACCCAGCTGTGGCTGCATCAGAAATGCTTCAGTGCCCTTTAGAGCTACCTGAGAAACTGAAAACGTTCCAGAATCAAACTTAATGTTTTCCTATTTAATTTTTTATAGGGGAGGGATCAGGTGCAATAACTCCAAGCTAAACAAGAATTTTATTTAATAGATTTATTTTTTTAATGCAGACTCGGGTTGTACGTTCTGTATTTAATTAATTGTACTTTTGGCATAATATTCAATCCAGATTTCAATAAATAAATATTTTTGTAAGAACTCTCTGTCTTTGCCTCTATTACAACCCTTTGGGATGACAGTAGCTGACATTATCATAGTGGCAACATGTTCTTTATTTCCTTTTCCACGCTGTCAAAACTCCCACAAGCTTTCCCTGTCTGAACGTCCTGTTTTGCAAAATAAGACAAGAAAAACCATGAAGGAGGAGGTGTGAGAAAGGCTCAGATTACAGTCAGGTAGCTTGGCTCACACTTTTTAGAAAGCATTTAATCACCACTCATTATGACAACCGGGAGCTCGTTAAATTCCATCCCTGGCCCCATTATAATCAATTAAAACATTACCTTTAGGGCCTGAAATTTAACACATTGGTTGGTTTAGGGAAAGCTTTCTGAGAGCTGCAGCTAAAATGGATCAGCTATTCCCAGAGCTGAGGGTGGAAAAAATACGTTTCCCCGCGAGATTTTCAGAACTATTTCATTTAGCTCTCATTTACCTGGGACATGAGGCTTGGCAGATATTCCCTCTCAGGAGAAAAGGTGTTTTTTCTCTGTGCCCCCAAAACCTGCCCATCCCTGGAGATTCCTCTCCAGAGATCACCCTGCTGGACCCCAGCCCAGGGCAGGACCTGCCCCTGCAAGGAGACATCTCCACTGGTCCCCCCTGGAGCTGAAGGAGATGGAGCCCACATCCCTGATGGCAATTCCAACATCCCTGATGGCAATTCCAACATCCCTGATGGCAATTCCCACGTCCCTGATGGCAATTCCCACATCCCTGATGGCAATTCCAACATCCCTGATGGCAATTCCCTCATCCCTGATGGCATTTCCCACATCCCTGATGGCAATTCCC